CTTCACTGAAAATCCTGTAATTTATTTGGAGAAGGAAGGCAGTGTGTGTGCATGTTCAGCTTGAGGAGTTCATGCCATATCTGAATTTATTATCAGAATTTTATTTTTAAAAAGGCAAGCAAAAGAAACCAAACCAGTTCTACCTGCTGTAAAATCAAGAGGTGAAAAACAGACCAAGAATGAAGTCAACTTGCAGTTGTGGATGAGGCTTTAGGTTAATTCTCAGCACAGAGAGAAGGCTGTGGGTTCTGGGTTCCCCTTGTCTTTAAGTGATACTATCAACTATCAAAAAAAATGAACTCAGGAACACTGAAAGATTCATTTTCTTCACAGGGAAGAGAAGAAATTCATTTGCATTCTTCAAAGGGAAAGGATCAGGGAAGAACCACATGAAGGAAACTGAAGGAGCAGATACCCCCTGTCTCTCATAGCTACAAAAAGAGTGAAGAAATAAAAGGAGATAGTTAGAAAGTAGATTTTTCTAGTCACAAAATGCTTTTACCTGCTGACAGATATAATATCTGAATATATATTATCCCTCATGCACACCTTCTTCTGCAGGTGCCCCCAAATTTTAGTTGAGTGCTAAAGAGAAATTAAAAGCATTATGGTCGGGTTTTTTGTTTTGCCTTTTTTTTTTGTTGGTTTGTTATGGTTTTTGTGGGGTTTTTTGTTTGTTTGTTTTTTTGTTTTTAAGCATTATGTTTCCCATGGCTCCTGTTCCCTGAGGAGTCTGGTTTGATCCTTTCTACCAAAAGGCCTGATCTGCTCCTACTGTAAAAAGAATCAAGAGAAGGCATATTGAAAGAGAAACTTATGGTTATAGGTGCATTTCAGTAACTCTGTTCTGGGTCAGACCCAGTTTTTATCTGGTAATTAACAGATAAATATCACTAAACTATTCCGTGTTATTTATTACCTGACGCGCTATGCAGAATAAAATTTGGAGAGCCTCAGACATGGTGACTGAGCTTTCTGCAGAGGAGGTGGGCCAGGAGATGGTATCTTGTAAAATTGCCCTGCCTTCATCTCCCTCCACAGCTACACCTCATCCCACCAGCCACCTAATGGTCCATTCTTGTTTACAGTCATATCTTGTTTCTGGTAATCAGCATTTGTGGAATAGCCAACCACGGTATCACTGAAGATTAAGTTCTCATATAGAAAATATCAGAACAGATGTCCTTAGCCCAAATTCTACAGTTTTCTTTCCAACAAGGTAAGCCTAGAACTGCACAGAATTCAGTCCCATCTGTTGATTATTGAGCTGATGACATTTCACTGTCAGCTACAACTTTTAAAATATTCACCTGCTCCTGAAAGTTTAAATGTAAGTACTGACCTCTTCAAAGAGAAGACATTTTATCCTACTGTAGCAGTTACCCTGCAATAACAAAATTTGTGGTGCCTTATGTTGAACAGAAGCCATCACTCACAGCCCATAGAGAAGATGGCACAGAAGCTTCCCAGACAACTTCACCTACAGCAAGTTTTACAAGAATTATCCACTTTGGAACAAACTATGAAAACTACATGGTGAACACACAGCAGGCAATTATAATCTTAAGAGCCTCATTTGACATCATGATAACTTATCTTCAACTCTGTCATTTGTACAAGTGCTGCCAGAGCAAGACAAACGCCTTTCAAAATAATTTGGACTCTGCTTGAAAAGAGTAAGATCTGGAAAGTAAACCCTCCCAAAAATCAACAAAACACTGCAGCAAAACTAAGCAAAGAGCTAAAACCCAATCTAAGAGCAATCCAGGACATATCCTGGGAAAGGAGTCCTGTCAAGCAGTACCTGATGACAAGGGTTACTTACAGTACCAGTGATAAAATTGACTTCCATCCCTTATTAGATCTCCAGACCTGATTTCCAATTTATCTGCCCTTAGCTTCTTGGACAGCAAAAGGAAACTGAAAAATCAAGGACTGTATAGAATCAATGTGGGTAACTTCACCATGGATATCCCTACAGATGGGTTTCAGTGAGGGTTGGTTGGCTGTTTCTTGAATCATCTGGGTCAAATCAGAGGATGAAAACTCCAAGAATCCAGAGCCATCCTGACCAAGGTCCAATACATACAAGCCCCACACATTGTACCAAGCCAAGCAAGCAACAATTGCCTTGGCACCAAGGGGAGGTACAAGAGCATACAGTTTAGAAACAGATATCCCTAACCAAAAAAAACCAACCAAACACAACAAACCAAACAAATGAAAAAAACAAATCACACACAATGAAAGTTTTATCCAGAATATGTTCCTTTTTCAATCACAGCAAAACAAATAATGCAGAAGGTGCAGGTACCTCTGGTGTCCTCCTGATAAGAAATGCAAAACTAAACTCACATCCCCTAAGTCTACATTTCTTTTTATTTTACTTCCTCATCTAAATCTTCTTGATGCCCAGATCTGCTCCAAACATTTATTGCAACCTGGTTTTGTCTGTTTCCCCAAACGCCAAAGCAAATAATACTCCTCTTTCTCTCCAATGAGAAGAAATGTTTGAATACCACCAGAAGAGTCCCTGGACCCACACAAATCACTCAGTCACCATCATCAACAGGACAGATGACAGCAAAACAGAGAAATTCTTTCCCTGGGAAAAGCAGTTTTGAGACCCTTTGACAGGAATAACTGTGAAGTTTCTTTGTGTTATTTACACACAGAGGTTTGTCTGCTTTCTTGATCATATGCACAGCCACTCTCCTCCCCTAACGCAAGGTGGTGAAAGGAGAGCAAGTGAGGACAAAAGGAGACAAGCCCAGATTCCTTTGGTATAAAGAAGACCAAACTTACAATCAAGGGAGAAATCACACGAGACAGTTGTATCTCTTACAAAGCCCATTTCTAAGGGACCAGAAGGCTGACTAGCCTCTAGATTTAACCCACAGATGCCAAAAGATGATTCTGCCTCCTGCTCTTAGTCCTGCTTCCCAGTAAAAATGCAGGGAAACATCATTTCTCTCTTTCCGCAAGATCCTGTTAACATTCCCAGTTTGGAACTCCTCCTCTGGTCTCTCAGCACACTGGGGGCTGGAAAAGCACAATGACAGAGGCTCATCCATATGGCGATAAATATCAGGAGAGAAAGTACAGCGAGGAGCCAGCAAGCAGCAGGCTGGAAACAGTGCATGGAATCGCATCCTCAGGAATCTCCCTGAGTTGAAATCAGAGCCCATTATTAATCTAGCTAGACACTGAGACCCAGTAGCTGGAGTAAATCAGATTAAACTCCTTCTATATCAATGGCTAGAAGCCAAGCAGGTCTTTCTTCTCTTTTCTTTTGAATGACATTCTTTTGAATGTTTTGGTCTGCTTAGCTAAGTGAACATACTGCTTTAAAATAAGTAAAACCAGGAGATGAAAAACATCAGCTGAATTTTAGTATGGCACTAAGGTCCTTTGAGATACCATCCAAAGTGAGAAGAAAAACTAAATTATTTCCTAGCCTGGGGGGCTACAGTAATGGTGGAGCAAGTAGTCCATTTCAACTCCACCCCCCCAATATGGGATGACTCTTTGAACAGATTAAAAACAGCTAAAAAGGGGTTAAAAGCAACCCTTTCTTTTCCATGGGGAGTTTTGCAAAGCACAGGACAAGTAAACAAAATGAAACTTCAAGAAGAAAAATCCCATTACAGGGGGACAAGAGAGAAGAAAGAAATCCTAGATTATTTAGGAGAGCTAAGTTTAATTTCAATTCTCAGAAGTTGATGAGAAGCCAAGCAGAGTGACGCGCTGACAAAGTGACTAAGGAGCCCATTCCTCCCCGCCCCAACCACCACGCTCAGCACCCTGCCAGCATAGCTGGAGCTGCAATAAGAAACTGCTAAATGCTCCTTACCTGCCCTGGCCTTGATGGCTCTGGTGTTTGCCAAACCTCTTTGCAAAACCAAATGCAAAAGGTAAAAAAATAATCAAATAAAGCAAAGAGAAAAGGAGGAAGGGAAAAAAAAAAAAAGGAAGAAAAAAAAAAAAAAAGCACAACCACAACCGACAAGACAGATGTTCCTTAAAAGCCAACAGCACCACATAGCAAGTGCTAGCCAAGCAGCTCTTCCACGAGATGGAGACTTAAGGCACATTACGCTTGCCCTGTCAAGGGAGACGATTTCAGAGACTTCTTAAAAAGACAGGGATTCAGGTTAAAAAAATTGAAGTAAACTAAAACGTATCAGCACTTTAGAGGTTAACAGCTTCTGCTGAACAACATGCGTTTATCCAACCACATCCTAGAGTAATTTTTTCAGCCCCGAGACCAATGAGCACAGTTAAGAGGAGGGCCTTGGGATGGTGGAGAGGCTGAGTTACCCCCTCCCCTTTGCCTTCACTCTTCTCCACCTCCCCCCTCTCTCTCTCTTTTTTTTTTTTTTAGTTTAGTAAATTAATGCAGCAAGAAACTCCCAAGATCTGGCGAGTCCTAGCAGGGGAGAGAGGGCAGAGGGGAAATGAGATGCATTAGGAGGACACTGAGCCACTTTCTTTCCGAGCACAATGGGAGTGCTTCCCAAGAAACTTCCCCTTCGCTTCCCTCCGCTCTAGCCCTGAGCAATGGGACACCTTCCCTCCAGCGGCAATAACTTATTCGGGAGGAAAATAGCCCAGGAAGCGGGAATCAACAGCAGAAAAAACAGCGGGCAGGAAAGCGACACAACCGGGACTGCAGCACGGCTCCACACTGACAAATTCCTGTGGATGTAATTAGGAAGACACCCGGGCTAGCAGCGGAGATTAAAGCCCTGGGTTGTTGAGGGTCGTGTCCCCCCCACCCACCACCTCCCATCCTACCCCTACCACCCTG